CTTGGCCACTCTGGTAGGTTTAGGCCACAGATAAGTATTTAGGTTTACTTAGATATATGTCTGAGTTCTTTTTCTTAATTTTAGATTTAAATGATAAAACTTTTTTTTGACTATATAAGGAGTTTTTGTTAAATTTAATAAGGATAAGAGCAAGGTCTCACCTTTAACATTAAAAAAAAAAAAAATTATATAACCTTTATATATTGAAAAACTTAAATAAATTTTAATATAAATTTTAAAGAAAGAATTAGCCGATATCTCGAAATTTTGTTAAGGTAACCCCCTATTGTGTTACTAATAAAAAATGTTTCTCTCATAATTTTACCCTAATCCCAAACCTAATTCTAACTCTAACTCTAATTATAATCTTTTATTTTTATCCTACAAATTTATTTATTTGACTACTAAACATATTATTACATTTGCTAAATTTTAGATAACTATTAAATAAATATTATTTATAATTATATTTATGTATAAATTATAACTATGTAAGTCTACATTGGGTCTATAGACCTATGTATAATTTTTAAATAAAATATATATAAAATATTTACATAACTCTACATAAAAACAACTTCGTGATGTAGTTCTCTGGCGGATCATGAATTAAGTCCTCTTTTGCTCAATTACAATATTGTGAAAAGGATTTATTAATAACATCATATACACCCCAAAAAAGAACTCGGTTCTCACCTTAGTGCAGTGTTGTCATGGGATAGGGACACAGACAACGGACAGTCCGTCCCGGACATGCCCGCCAAAATGCTAACGTCCCAGACAATTAAAAATTATAATAAGAGTGGCCTTGTTGGCCAATGAGGTTGTTTGATAAACCATGTGACATAGGACACCATCACAGACATGGCGGGACTGTCCGTCCCTAAAATTTTAACGGGACAACGTCCGTGTACAGTACAACACTGCCCTAGTGTCATGATAGATGTAAGCACATTTGTGAGGTACAATTGTTAATCTTAGGTTGTAAAAAAATACGTAATGAACCTTGTTTTTTAAAATTTAATTTATTCTAAACTACGTTTTGTTACTACAGTCGCATTTCCATATAATCACCTTTGTGACCTAGAAATTAGGTGATTATATAAAAAATAAATTAGTGAATATATAAAAATATAAAATTCATAAGATTTAATAAAATTTGACATCAATTTTCTTGATAACTAATAATTCAAATAGACTCAAATTATTACCATAAATAGTATCGTTATTCCTTTATAATACAGTATATTAAAATTTCAGCTAAATTTGGTCAATAGTTCTTGAGATATCACTTGTACACAATAGTCAATTTTTTTAAAAAAATACACTATTATATACAAGCAATTTCTCAAGAACGATTGATCCAATTTAGTTGGAATTTTAACATATTATAGAGAAATATCGATACTATTTATTATAAAAAGAAAATTGATGCGAAAGTTTAATTAAATCTTATGAATTTTATATTTCTAAAAAATTCATAAGATTTAATCAAATATTAGTATCAATTTTCTCAATAACTAATTATTCAAATAGACTCAAAATTTTACTATAGATGGTATCAATATTTTCTCTATAATAAATTAAAATTTCAGCTAAATTGGATTGTTAGTTCTTGAGATATTGCTTGTATATGATAATAATTTTTTTTAAAAAAATTAACTAACATATACAAGTGATTTCTTAAGAATTATTAGCTGAAATTAAATATATTATAGAGGAATATCGAAACTATCTATAATAAAAATTTGAGTCTATTTTAATTATTAGTTATCCAGGAAAATTGATGTTGTAGTTTGATTAAATCTTGCAAATTTTTTGTTATATTGTTAGTAAATTAGCTATTAAAAATGTGATATTATAATCAATTGTTATTATTAAAAAAAAAACTTAAAACTTAGAATTGTGTTTTTATAGAAAATTGTGCTTTTATATTTATATTTGTTTGTAAAATTCGGCGATGGTGCTTGTACAGAAATTGTGACATTATAGAAAAAATTTAATATAAATATATATTATTGGGACCAAATTTTTAGGTGAATAAATAGAAAATGTGACTACAGTATGAAGGAGGTGACTATATGGGAGTGCGACTGTAATTATAAACGAAAACAAGGAGAGTAAAGTAAATTCACACCTTGTAAACAAATTACATGTTACTGATCTACCAATAAATCACAGCAAACCACATTATACGATTGGTTATATTTTCATACCCCTGATACTGTAACCATCTAATTAAATTACTTTAAACACAGTACAAAAAAATCACATGAGGGGTCTCATAGGAGAACATTCATATAATTTATGAAAACAGCTGGCTCCGACCGGCTAATGGCCACATTTTAGCCAAGCCGTCCTTTAGCTGCGCCGTTTTTTTAACAAACCAATAAGAGTCGCAGCTCCAATTTTTGGTATAAAAATTTATTTTCAATTATCTTTAATGTTAGTACATGTACATTTTGGTGACGAATATGAGAAACATAGTATAGAAATATATTATTTAATAAAAAAAAATTTTTAGAAACCATTTTTGAAAATAAACTTTTTTTATTAAAAAAAAAAAGATCTCGAGTCTTAGAAAATAACACGAGAAAGGTCCATTTGGACGATTATGAAATACAAAAAGAATAAAATAAAATAAAATAAATAAATAATAAAATAATATATTTATAACGATGACATTATTATAGTTTATTATAATTACGAAAGTTTATTATACCTGGTGTTTTAAAAGTTCCAAAACACGGTCCCCTTTTTTTTTTAAGTAACCTTATACATAGAGATCATTTATGCAAATATGATATTTAAATAATCATCGTGATAAGGACACTTAAAAGGGACCGTGTTTAGGAACTTTTGAAACACCCGGTATAGTTCTGTAGCTGCGACATTAGCACAAGCTGAGAGCTGAGCTGTTAGTAAGCCGAGCCGTTAAATAGCTCAGCTAAGCCGATCGTCCCACGGCTCTGCAAAGCCGTTTTGCATTACTACGTATAATTGGCTGAAGTAAAATCAATTGCTTGGGTAAGTATATGGGCTGCCGTCAATAGAAATCAAGCAGATTTACATTTGAAAATAAATTAATGCCTTAAGGGAACTGTCACTTATTACGTAAATATAGCCCCCCTCCAGAGCAGGGATGGTAAAGTTGGAGGTCATTTGCCTTTTTTTCAAATGACCTAGGTCATTTCGGACTAAAATTCATAAAAAAATTGGGGTGATTTGAAGTCATTTGGGGTCATTTGAAGGTCATTTACCATCCTGCTCCAGAGTCAGTCGTTTGACAATTACAAGTTCTAAAGTAATCATAATATAAACTCTATACGGTTGGTTATTTTAGAGCTTGCAATTGTCAAACGATTGAGTGCTTTAGAACTTGTAATTGTCAAATGACTGACTCTGGAGAAGCTATAGGTGACAGTTCCTTTATTATGACGGAGTTAGCAACAGGAAGAAATCGTTTGATGAAGTGTCTTTTTAATATTGGACTTTCGAAGAAAATTTGTCAAGGTGAACGATCTGAATTCGCTGAAAAACACCAAAATATTACGTAAAATTGGCCAAAATATGCATATAACCTGATCTAACTAAACGACCAACGGCAACAAATATTTATTACAGATGGAACAAGATGATTTTTTGAAGAGGATAATATCAATATCACCAATTCACCCAAATGATATGTATACGAGTAAATTAATCAATACCAAAAAAATAACGGAGGCGTTAAGATCAAAGAATTCAAGAAATAAATTCTCATTGTCATCTTTCTAGGATCGCAAAGGAAGAGATCAGCCAAGGGATAGAGTCTGTCGAGATTAACCGTATCTTCACGTGATTACGCCCGTGGGCGTTATTTAAAAATCGTGCCTCTTAAAAATAGTATGCGCGACTCAAAATAACCCATGTACGTCCCTAAATAACGCGCACCCATATATGATAACCTGCAAATCCGAGTTTTTTTTTTTTTTGCATCGGATTGACTACAGTATTTAGAATGTAAGTATAAAACCATTTATTTATTTTATTTATATTGTATTTATTTTAAGCACTAAATTAATACGAACAAGACCAAATTAAATAATAAACGTTTAGAACTAATAATCTTATTATTCAGCAGAGATGATATTAAAAGTGGATAAAAAATTTAAACTATCGTCTTTGTCGAATAATAAAATTATTTGGCAGGTAAATCATAGTAAGCTGCCGGATAAATAATTGGTCACTTGACTAAATCGACTTGAACAAGAGACTATTTATCGATAAGAAATTAATAAGATACGTATACACTTTTTTTAAATACATACTTCGGTTAGTAAATATTGTTATACTTGCCAGTTGAATTAACCTAAAGAGACTTAATGAGAAGTGGTGGCCTATTGATTAAATCAACGTTAGTAAAAATCGCCTTGGTTTCGAATAACGCCCATTCGCGTATTAGCAGGTGGGCGTTATTACGCGAAATACAGTAATACAATTTTTTTATATTTTTATGAAAATTGAAATTCAAAGATATTGTAAGTAATATGCAAATTTATGTACAGTATTAAAGATAATTTTGTATAATGTACTGTACATGTTTTATGTTAGGGTTAAGGTTTAGGGTTTAAATCTGAACAGTGCTGGGATTTTAGGGCTAGCCAATCAAATTTATGACCAAAAAATTGGTTAATATATGTAAGATTAATATGTTTTTTATTGAATAGTTTTAAAGAATTCCCTTTTTTTTATAAAAAAGAACAAATTCATTTAAAAATTTATGGTAATATCTAATGAGGCACAGATTATAACTCAACCAACCGGATCGTTTTTCATATTTAAATTTGACATGACGCCCATTTTTATTCTGACAGACAAACACAACATACATACTGTAGATACTATAGATGTTAGTGAAATATGGTGAAATGTGGTGAAATTGTGGTGAATTGGTGAAATTGGTGAAATTAATTTCACCAGCATCTATAGTAGATACCGTGCCGTTCCGAAATTAAGCACTCTTTTTTTGTTATAGGGGATGCTTATTTTCGGATATAATTTCAAAGTTATTCTTCAGGTCAAATTTATTCTAATGGTAGTAAAATTATCAAAATTGATCAAGTAGAACTTCCACAATTGTTCTTCAAAGTTCAGTCAATGCTTGCTTACATTTCATGCATGATCTGAATCACATAAGCAAACGTCGCCCGAACTTTGAAAAGCAACTGTAAAGGTTCTATAGAACCGGTTTTGAATATTTACCATCGTTTGAATCGTCTTGACCTGGAGGATGACTTATTTAGAGACAGAAAGTAGGCTTGTTTAGTAAAAAAAAATCCGATACGATTATACTTAGAGGGTGCTTATTTTCGGATATTATACAAAATTTGGTAGTGCTTGGGAGGTATCAACATTACAACTGTTCTCATAAATCATAAAAATTGACCGATGATTATTCAGCCGAATTTGACGTTAATATAGCACTCACAATGCATAATTTATGGTTATCGTCACTAGTCAAATATATATGATGTTGCAAAGCCATATAATTGAAGCCGATTCGAGTAATCTAGGCTTGGCAAGTTTTCTGTGGATTGAAATCATGCAATTTCATGTGTTGATGAATTTTCGTCACTTTTAAAAGGACACATCTATTATTGAAATCCATTGTAACTTTTTTACATTTCAAATGAAGTCTGTGAAGTCTGTGAACTGATAGAAATAATTGAGTATATAGTATTAGGCAAGTATGTATAGGTTTTAGTTCTAATAATAAATGGGTTATAAGCGATAAATATATCTTAATTTATCTTATAATAATGAAAAACTGCAAGAGTTTTATTATTATGGTTTTAAGAAATAAATAAGGTCAATGTTTATTTGAAACTTACATTACAGGGGTATCAATCAATTCTTAAGGTAATTCTGGTGTCACCACAGTTGATCGGCAAAGTGTTACAGAATGACCCCAAAAATACAGAAACAGTTCGAAAAGTCGCTTTCTTTATGCCTTATAAGTGGCAGCACTTTACAATACTAAAATTCTCAGTGGTCATTACGTACATGCTTGTTAATTCTATCGTTTTTGTTTAGAAGCACTAAGTATGAAATTGGTAAATTAAAGTATACAAAATCTCCAATTCTTGTATAACATCATAATCTGCGGGGATACACCTTTTTTTGCAGCACAATCATTGAGGTCTTTAGGATGTATGTCGCTGCATGATTACAAGGATCAAAAACATACTACTATGTACAATTAACGTTAGTCAATTAATCACTAATTGACAAATCAGTTAATCGATTAACCGTTGATTGGCTGATCAATCGATTGGCTGTCCGATTACGTAGTTGCCAACTTGACTAACTAAACGATTAACGTTAATCGATTTTTCGATTTGGAATAACTAAAATTTAGTAAACGCAAACTATATAAATGAAAAGCTTTTTTTGATATATGCTTTTATTATGGGTCAGACAGACATTGAACTTCGCGAACTCGGATGGAAATATCAGAACGGCATCGGGGTTGAAAAGGATGAACGCAAGGCGTTTGAATATTATCAAAAATCAGCTGAAATGGGTTATGCGGTTGCAATGTTTGATGTTGGATATTGTTATCGAAATGGAATTGGAGTTGAAAAGGATGAACGTAAAGCATTTGAATACTATCAAAAATCAGCTGAAATGGGTTATGCAGTTGCAATGTTTGATGTTGGACATTTTTATCGAAATGGAATTGGAGTTGAAAAGGATGGACATAAAGCATTCTTTTATTATCAAAAATCTGCAGAGAAGGGTGATGTTGATGGAATACTTGCACTTGGACGTTGTTATAATGATGGAATTGGAGTTGAAAAGGATGAAAGTAAGGCATTCTTTTATTATCAAAGATCTGCCGAGATGGGGAACGTTAACGGAATATATATGGTTGGATATTGTTATGAAAAAGGAATCGGAGTTGTAAAGGATGAACAAAAGGCATTCATTTATTATAGAAAATCTGCACATATTGGGAGCGTTAATGGAATACGTGCACTTGGAGTTTGTTATGAAAATGGAATCGGAGTTGAAAAGGATGAACATAAGGGATTCTTTTATTATCAAAAATCGGCTGATATGGGGGACGCTATTGGTATTAATAATCTTGGTGGTTGTTATCGCCTCGGAAGAGGAGTTGCAAAAGATGAACGTAAGGCGTTTGAATGTTACAAAAAAGCCGCTAATATGAATGATTTTAGGGGAATGGTTAATATTAGTGATTGTTATCGGAATGGAATTGGAGTACAGAGAGATATTCAAAGAGCTAATCATTGGTATCGAAAATTAAGAAGTCTTAAAACAATAAATAAAATTTCGTATGAAGAAATCGATGATGGTGTTAAAGAGATCTTAAATGATGAAAAATATAAATTATCATGGATTAATTACAATGAATTCAAAAATATTAAAGAAATAGGAAAAGGTGGATTTGCCACTGTATTTTACGCTTTTTGGTATGATAAAAATGATAATATTAATCGTCCTGTTGCACTTAAACTCATTCACAATTCGAATAAAAATGTAGAAAATTTCGTTCAAGAATTGAGGAATTATTGTGATATAGGTTATGAAAATCCATCATTTTTAGAATGTCTTGGAGTATCAAAGGACCATATGACTAAAAATTATATTATGGTTTTGAACTATGCAAAGGAAGGTTCATTACGTCAGAATCTCAAAGATGTATCTCAATTGATATGGAAAGATAAATTAAATATATTACATAGTATCGCTTCTGATCTTGAAGCAATTCATTCTCAAGAATTGATTCATCGAGATTTGCATTCCGGTAATATTTTGCAAGCCAATTTACGCAGTGCATATATTGCCGATTTGGGACTTTTAGTATCGTCTGGTATTAAACAAGAAGGTATGATCAATGGTGTTATGCCGTGTATAGCACCAGAGGTCTTACAAGGAGGACCGTTCACCCAAGCGGCGGATATTTACAGCCTCGGTATTATTATGACGGAGTTAGCAACAGGAAAGAGGGCGTTTGATGGAGTGCCTTTTGATATTGGACTTTCGATGAAAATTTGTCAAGGCGAACGACCTGAATTCGCTGAGGAAACACCAAAATGCTACGTAAAATTAGCCAAAAGATGCACGGAACCTGATCCAAATAAACGACCAACAGCAACAAATATTTGTGAAAGAGTTGGATATTGGCTTGAAGAAATAGGACAAGATGATGATAATGAAGTCAAGAAACAATTTTTTGAAGCAGATAATAACGAACCAGAATTAAAATCACCGATTCATTGAAATCTATACTAGTAAAAGGAGCTTGTTAAAAGAAAATAGAGATATAAAACATAATTGTTAAATGAGTTTCACAAAGTATGACAAGTATATGGCAACTATCTATAACATAATCATGAAACTCATGGGATTCATGAACTCAAAAAAAAGATCTGCAAAATTCACCGATCCTATGTACACGAGTAAATCGATAGACACCAGAAAGATAACGGAGGCGTTAGAATCAAAAGCTTATGGCATAAACTCTCATCCTTCTAAGATCGCCGAGGAAGAGATCAGCCAAAGGATTGAGTCTGTCGAGATCATTGATGATTAACAATTCAATTATTATTAAAAATAAAAAAATTTTGTATAATAAACTATATATACAACTACAACTTTTATGCAAGATTAATATGTTTTTTTACTGAATAGTTTTTAAAGAATTTACTTTTTTTTATAAAAAAAGATATTTAAGCTGTATATAGAACCTATTTCGGCTTGTAAAACAATTCGATATTGATTTTTGATGTGAAATTGTAGAGTTTCATATCAAAAATCGATATTATCAAATTTTGCTTAACCCAACTAGATTACGTAGATTAATTCTATTTAAAGGCATGCCTTAATAACTTAAAGTTCTTCGGCATGCCCAATGGCTATCATGCCAGATTCTCTATCTGACATGATCCTTAAATATGTCCATCTGATCTAGTCCTACGGAACATTACTCGATTTTAAAATTTCATGCTAAAAATAGGGTTAATAAGAAAATTATTCTTTTAATCTATCTCTGACGATAACAATTTAGTAATATCGCGCAAACCATGGCTACCGTAGAGCGCTGCATACAGTACCCGGTGTGACACGATTTTTTAAATAGTGAAAAATTAAAACTCACATGTATTTTATATCGCATAGTCGTATAAATAAGATTTTAAAAAATTGATCTAAATTGATCTAAATTATTTGTCACGCATGGTACTGTATGCAGCGCTCTACGGTATTGGTTTTTCTCCGGACTTAATTATCTTGACTTTTTTGATTGTTATATTTTTAAAAATATAGAAATACGATACGTAGAAATGATTAGTAACACGAGATTTTATTATATTATATAAAATAATAAATAACATTTATTTTTTCTCATACGTACAGTATACAGTATATTAAAGAAATAATTAACAGTTAAGGTGATCCGCAGTTAAATACGGTACAGTATTACTATTAGTTTATATAGATTGTGAATGGTATTGATAAAAAATACTGTACACTGTAGTATAAAATATTCATATTTTATGACAAACTAAGCCGATTTTGATGATTTAACTATCGTTAGAATCAGAAAAATTGGTTCTACAAGTTTGGTTAGAAATTGAAAGGTTTATTTAGTAAAAAAAAAAAAAAACTTTTTATATATAAGAAAACTCTATTTACAGTACTATAGAAGATTTATATTAAATTCCGATTTTGTTTATTATAAGATTTGCTTTTTTTATTCCTCAAAAATGAACTAACTCTTAAAACATTTTAGCAATACGTACAGTATATAGAATATAAAGTGATCTATATATACATATATTTATTAAAATATTCTATTATTTTACTGTTTTAAAAATAGAATATAATACAACTTATATTTTGGTCACCATATCAAGATCGCAAAGTATAAATCATTTATACTTTAAATACTTTGTATATATGCAAAAAAATAAAATTTTTGCATATATTTAATTATTTAAAATATAACTATTACAAATTCTTTTATAAATTATATATTTGATTATAAATATAATTTATCAAGTTTACTAAAATGCACCTATGGTGTTCAACACCATAGGTTTCTATTTCTCAAAAACATACAGAGTAAACAGGATCAGATATTCTAAGTAAAAATATTCAGGACTCTCTGAAAACATTACAAAAACTAAAATTGAAACCTTATACAGTATCTAATATATATATTACAATATAAAGCCTTACTTATATTTATTTTTAGTACAAGTTAATTTAAATTTATAAGATCTTAAACTAAAAATTCAACAAATTTATTTTTACTTGTACAAATTGTATAGTCTATAAATTATAGTTAATTTGTTAAAGTTAGTTAATTGTTAAAGTAAATAATAATACAAAGCTTATAAATTTATTAGATCAAGATTATTTATTATCTAATTTAAAAATTATAATTGTTAAATATTATTTAAGTATTTGACTATTAAATATTTATTTGATTTTGTTAAGCATTAGTAATAGGTTAGTATTTAAAATTAAATCTAAAAGAAACTAAAAATATTTGTTTGCAAGAAGACTATTAGGCAATTAAAAATGTATTTAGATTTTTTGCCTTTTTGTTTGCTATTAGTATTTGTTAAAAATAATTTGACAATTTTACTAGGTACAAATTCAATAAGATAAAGTTTAATAAAGTTAAAAAATTGGTATTCAAATGTGTTTAAAAAGATATTGTTTTTTATTTTTAGAGTAATAAAAAAGTGTTTGAACTAATTAAAGTTATTAGAGATATCATATTTAGATTTAAGTAGTTGTTAGAGTGTGGTGACTTAGTGAAGTGGTCTAGCTATCACCCCACTAAGTGGTATATTTTGAGTTTGCATCCTACTAGTAACAGAATTCAAATTTTGTCTATCATTGTAACTAATTTAGTGTTGGGCTACTAGAG